CGCGCAGAATGACGACTGTCAGGAGGCATTCAATCATTTTAAGTCTTACCTAGCCTCCGCACCTGTCCTGTCGAAGCCGGAACGTGGGGATGTCCTGTACGTCTACCTCGGGGTAGCCCCGACAGCCGTCAGCTCGGTACTCCTGCGGGAAGACAACGGAGTCCAAAAACCCGTCTATTACGTAAGCTGGGCCTTGCATGATGCGGAATTGCGGTACACCCCCCTAGAGAAAACCATATATGCACTGATACGCATGACCCGGAAACTAGTGTTCTACTTCCAAGCCCATCCCGTAGTAGTACTGACGGACCAGCCGCTGGGGTCGGTGATGAGAAACCCGATCTCCTCAGGAAGAATGATGAAATGGGCTATTGAGCTGACCCAGTACAACATCAAGTACAGGCCTCGAGTGGCCATAAAGGGGCAAGCGCTGGCCGACTTTATAGTGGAGTGCACGGCCCAGGAAGACAGAGTAGAGGGCCAAACCACCCCCGAACCCGAATGGGAAATGTATACGGATGGGGCTTCTAGCCGGAAGGGTTGCGGGGGCGGCATGGTCCTAATATCCCCTGAGGGGTTCAAAGCATACCGAGAATTCCGTTTCAACTTCCAGCTATCTAACAACGAAGCAGGGTACGAGGCTTTAATCGGAGGGCTATGGTTAGCCCAGACCCTCCCGGTTCAACGCCTTAAGATCAGATTGGACTCCCGCCTGGTGGTGGGGCAGGTGAACGGTGTATTCGAGACCAAAGAGAACAGGATGCGGCAATATAAAGAAGTAGTGAAGCAATTACTCGCAGGGTTGGAACGATGGGAGTTGCAGCAAATCCCGAGGGCGGAAAATGGGGAAGCCGACCTACTGTCGCGCCTAACACAAGGGGTTGAGGAGTACCTCGAAAACATATCGCGGATTGCCCAAATCACGGACATAGATAGTCCAAGTATAGAGAGAGACGAGATCCTCACCGTTTCACCCACCCAGGATGACTGGATGCGCGAAATGATCTCGTATAAAACCGAAGGTGTCACTCCTGGGAACCCCACGCGGGCGCGAAAGGTGACATTAATGGCCCCCACATACCAGATCCACGGGGGAAAACTTTCCAAGCAATCTTTCGGAGGACCACTGCTGCGATGCCTCACGAAGGCAGAATCCGAACGAGTAATGTCAGAACTCCATGAGGGCATGTGCGCAATGCACCAGGGCGCTAACACGCTTACACGAAAAGTGATTTTGCAAGGATATTACTGGCCGCGAGTCAGGACAGATTGTTTGGAGTACGTAAAACGGTATGGGACCTGCCAACATTTCGCGATCTTGCCTGGCCGTCCTGCGTCATATTATACCCTGGTCACTTTGGCCATCCCGTTCGCAAGGTGGGGCATCGACATACTGGGCCCATTCCAAAAAGGCGTCGGCGACCTAAAATTCGTAATCGTTGCAGTGGACTATTTCACCAAGTGGGTGGAGGCAGAAGCCTTGGCATCGATCACCGAACACCAATGCCGCAAGTTCGTCTAGAAAAACATATTCACGAGGTTTGGATTACCATTGCAGATTGTATCGGATAACGGAAAAGAATTCGATAGTGCGAGTTTCGGACAATTCTGCGCATATTTCGGGGTCGAACATACCAAGGTGGCTGTGGCTTACTCACAGGCGAATGGGCAGGTAGAAAACACGAACAGGACCATTCTGGACGGTCTGAAAAAAAAAGTTCGAAGCAACGGGGGTGGCCTGGCACGAAGAGCTCCCGTCAATATTGTGGGCTTATCGGACGACACCGCGAAGGGCAACCGGGGAAACACCATTCGCCCTCACGTACGGGTGCGAGGCACGGTTACCCATAGAAGGACATATACAGTCCAGCAGAATGTTACAGTATGAGCACGACCAGAACGACAACGATATGAGGGTGGAATTAAACTTACTAGAAGAAAGGAGGGAATATGTGCGCAAGCACATGGCAGAATACCAACGGGCCGTCAAGCGAGACCACGATATCCGCGCGCGCCTAAGACATTTCCAAACAGGGAACCTGGTGCTCCGACGTAGAGAAGCCAGCAAACCTTTGCAAGGACGTAAGCTGGCCAAGAATTGGGAGGGACCCTACAAGATAGCTGCCCTCGTGCGGGATGGCACATACAAACTGGAAACCATTCAAGGTTATCTAATAGACCGGCTATGGAACCCGCACCACCTGAAGCATTTTTTCCAATGACCCGAGCCACGAGGAGCAACACGAATAATCCTCTAAGGTACCCCTTAGAATTCCCGCGTTACATACATCGTCTTTAAAGATTATTTGCATTGTAATTTTAATATCGCACACGCGCGTCTACACCTGGTTCTACGGAACAAAGTACGTAACCAGCGTGCCACCCCAAAAAAAAAAGGGGTATAGTGTGTGGTGCCAGCATGAGGCAGCAGGCGGCCCACAGTCTAGTATACCATCCATGATGAGCATACACATATCCAGACGTTATGCCATGGAACCGTGTTCACCATTCATGGTGAACACGGTTCCAACGGTGTTAGTACACCGTTATCTTTTTTTTTCTTAATTAATTGTGTGACTTTTCTTCTTTATTTTCACATTTTGCGGTTTCACTTTAATTTGAGGTGAACAAAGATTTCGAACATTCATAAATTATGAATTCATGCCTGCACATTCACTTTGGAACCATGCCTACACATTCCCATCCGAAATCACGGACATTCATAAATTATGAATCCATGCCTGCACATTCACTTTGGAACCATGCCTACACATTCACTTTGGAACCATGAGATTATGAATTTTCTGTTATAAGATTATGAATTTTCTGTTATGAGATTATGAATTTTCAGTTATGAGATTATGAATTTTCTGTTATGCGATTATGAATTTTCTGTTATGAGATTATGAATTTTCATTACATTCATAATTTCGGACATTCATAAATTATGAATTTATGCCTGCACATTCACTTTGGAACCATGCCTACATATTCCCGTCCGAAATCACGGACATTCATAAATTATGAATCCATGCCTGCACATTCACTTTGGAACCATGCCTACACATTCACTTTGGAACCATGAGATTGTGAATTTTCTATTATAAGATTATGAATTTTCTGTTATGAGATTATGAATTTTCAGTTGTGAGATTATGAATTTTCTGTTATGCGATTATGAATTTTCTGTTATGAGATTATGAATTTTCATAAAATTCATAATCTGATGAGCTTTCGTAGGCTCCCAAATTAAAACCTTACAAACGTAGTAGCGGGAGTAAGGATCGATCCCACGAGGAGTAACTAGTTTAACTTTTGTGCTCAAATTAAAGGTAGGGGGTTTGGAATATATCGAGAATAAAGATAAAATAAAAGAGAATTTAAATAAATAGGAAATTTAATTGAACGAATAAAGCAATGAAAATAATATATCGAAAACACTTATAATAAGAAACCTTGGTTAGTAAAGATCCACCACCGGAATTCAACACTGATCATTGATTAATAAAGTAATTAATATGCAATTGAATATTTGTCGTGAAATTATTTCGTTCCTGTTTTCCCTTAGTTGTAGGTAAATAAAGCACAAGCGGTTTAATTACCCCTAACTACTAAATAATCTAAGACAAGCGCTATAGATTTAATTTAATAACAGCAATAGGAACTAGGAAAACCGACAAACTAAATAACACAAGCACAAGCGGTTGCATTTCATTTAGGAAAATATTCTACCCGAGACCAATTATCACTAAGCCGTCAATAATTAACCTCAGTTGCTACTGAATATTAGAATAATTTGTAGCACAATATTATCTAATATAGCAAATAATTATATCAAATAAATAACTACTAGGCCTCCCTAGCAATTAAATGATACAACTATTCAAATAATTTTAGCAGAATATTTAATACTCAAATGCATAGAAACATATATAATAAAAATAAATAAATAATCTTACAGCATAATCAATTCCGGGGCATCAATTCACTAAGCCAAGCTAGAAGAAATTAGCCACGAATGGACATTGGTAACAACTTTAAAGAATAATTGAGAGGGGAAGAATGAACATTTTACAATAGGAAACTCCTACTATTTATAGCATTCTAAAAATAGGCTCAATGAACCTCAACCATCCAATTCTTATTTTTTATCGCTGCATGAAAATGTCTTTTGCATGACTCTCGGCGATGGAATCGCATTTCCTCTACTTTCCTGCATGATCCACACGAATTGAAGACAAAAAAGGACAACATAATTATAATCCTTATATTTGTTTTGTTTTTTTACTAAGAAGTGGGCCACTTAATTTATTTAAATAATATATAATATATAGATATATATATATATAAAATGCATATATATAGTAGTAGTACGTAATAGGTATTATAAATTATATAAATTATATATTATATATTATATATTATATATTATATATAAAAAGAACTAATTATAAGATAATATTAAATAACTAATGCAAAATTATTAAAAATATGTAGCTAAAATATGAGTGTAAAATGTGCCTATCAAACTCCCCCACACTAAAACGTTTGCTTGTCCCAAAGCAAAAATATTATTTACGAAGTAAATTGAAATAAAATTCCCAAAACTCATAACATATCATGAACAACAATCTGAAGCACCCTGCAATCAATAAGGTAGCACCCCTATCTGAAAATTGAGAGAACTAAATAAGTAAGCCCTCACAAGAATATCACTCATCACTCAAGTGTTTGATAGGTATAAATTTCACTCAAGTTCATTCCTATAAAATTGTTCTACCATAGGCTTGCATATCTTCTCAATCACCACTACAAGAGTCATGCATGACACAAATCATAAGGACTTTTCATAGGTTGTAATGGGGCTAAGGTTAAGGTAGGGAATATTTTCGGAAAGTAGTTTAAATAAAACCTTCAAACTAGAGGAGCAAAATAAATACAATTAATCCAACACCATCAATTTTTTTTTCATTCAAAGCATTTCTCATTGACACTTCAACTATCATCCTCAAAAATAAAGATTTCCGCAATGTTACCAGAAATTCTCCTTGCTTCATTTATTTAGCGGTAACTTCAAACTCAAAACTAATTGTGGATTCTTTCTCATTTTCAGCAACATTTTTCCTTTTCAAACATATATTCTCCATTTTTCTATTTCATTTTTTTTTTTCAATTTTTCATGTTTTTTTTTTTTTTTTAAATCGTGAACTGCTTCCTCTTTCCTTTTTCATAGAAGACCAATGACATATTGGTAACGAAGATACAACTCACCTCACTCTCAATCATATTAATAAGAATAAGTGATCTCCCCCACACTTATCCTTCCCAACCTCACGTAGATTACAAAAATAATCCAAAATTTGCTCCACTAGTTATTCAGCTGGGTGAAGGCATTATTTTAGATATAAAAGACTTGTAATGTGGTTCAAAATAAAGAAAGGAATGGCCATAAAGCTCAAAGTGGTTAACAAAGGAATGATAAATCATAAGACAAACCGGTTATTTGGCTAGTGAGGCTCAAAGTCAAATAATGGCCTTAATCACATTTGAATCATGCATGGTCTAATTAGCTTTAAAAGAGAATCAAGACAAGTTCTAGAGAAACAAAATTATGAAAGAAATCACACAATAGAAAGAAAATAAGACCGAAGTGTCAGTCAATAGCTCAAAACACTCACAGGTTTATTGCTTACTTAATATAGCCACTACATATCAAACAAGAGATGCTAACAAACTAATCACAATTTGCCAAACTATTTATTCAATCACATTATAAATTTCAGGAAAGGAATTTTTTTTTTTCAAAATAATACTTATTTTGCATAAAATACTAGTAAAATATTTTTTGAAAATTTTTGAAAATTTTGACATAAGCAAACAAATAATAAAACTAAATTCCCTCCCCCCACACTTATTATCAACAGTGTCCTCAATGTTGAATAAAAAAGCACAGAAAAAGGGTTATTGAATGAGAATATGGAATAAAAGAAAAAAAAAATGGAACAAACACACCTTAGGTTGCCTCCCAAGCAGCGCCTTTGTTTATCGTCGTTGGCTCGACTTATGATATTTCTTTAAATTTCCATCGTCTTTTTGAGTACCTTCGATGATTATGAATATTCAAAGAAACAGTCCCTTCATGCAGATTAGTACTCAAAGATGATTTATTATTTGGTTCTTCTTTATTTTCAATAGAAGCAATTGCATTAAATTTAACAAGTTTCAAGGAATCAACAAAAATTGCAAAATTATCATCACTAGGAGATTTCATGGTATCATAAATATTAAAGTTCACAAATTTACCATGAGACTCCATTGTAAGCATGCCACTATGAATATCAATTTTCGTTTTTGCGGTTTTTAAAAATGGTCTTCCTAACAAAATATGAGAAATTTGATTATTATTTTCCATATCAAGGACATAAAAATCAGCAGGAAAAACAAAGTTATTAACTTTAACAAGTAAATCCTCAACCACACCCCTAGGATATGTAGTAGATCCATCAGCCAATTGAATTACTATACTAGATTTATCACTACAAAAAAACGCATAAATAGTGACGGATTTAGCGATGGTCGAATTCCGTTGCTAAGATAGCGACGGAATAGCGACAACGTAGTAACCGATTTTATTTTTTTTGTTAAATAGACATTTAACGACGGACTAGCAACGGACTTAGCGACGGAAATATTCCGTCATGAAATCCGTAGGTAATTTTAGTGGTAAATTTCCGCGCAAAAAATAGAGACAAAATTGCAACGGATTAACGACGAATATTTCGCGGGCAAATTCCATAATTTAATTGCGACATATTAGCGACGGATATATTCATCCGTCGCTACATTTTGAAGGCAGATGCGTGTTTGTTCACATGTTAGCGACGGATCTAATTATCCGTCGCTATCTAGCGACGGATTTTCAAATCCGTCGCAAAATCTATATATATCGGAAATTTTTTAACAATCTAGCAACGGCCTTTTTGAATCCGTAGCTATATTGACGAAGCCTGTTAGGTTAAATACTATAGCGATGGATTTTAAAATCCGTCGCTAGTTTACAAGCGGGAATTCGAAATTGGGAGGCAATATATTTTTAACTCTAGCGACGGACTCTGAAATCCGTCGCTAGAGTTGATAAATTAAAGTTAAGACCGCGATTTTCTACTGCTATCTCACCGCGATTTTCTATTGCTACCTAACAAAAACCCTACCCATTACTGCGATTTTCCTCTGGCCGCCCACCACTCACCGCCCACCGCTCACCGTCGACGGTGCTATCTCCTCCGCCGACCGCCGCTGCCTCTCCACCGGCCGACGTTAGTTGCCTCTCCACCGACCGAGGCTGCCTCCTCCGTATATCTGGTATGTATCCGAGAAATTGATTCTTTTCTATTAACATCTTTGTATTGCCATCTTTTCTATTTGATGATATTAATTTAGTTATATCTTTGAGATACTCTATAACAATATAGCTTATTAATTTCTACTGCACTGCATATTAGCTTCTCACCCTTTAGCATTTCTAGATTCGGAGTTGTTGTTTGCCTCTGATTTTTAAGCCCCAAAGTGACACTCTAACTTGCCAAGTCTCTTTCTAGCCAAATTAAAAAACTGTGGTGAACAAAGTGAGGAAGTTTTGGGGTTGTTACTTTAAACATTGTTGATGAGGATATCGTGTATCATTACATTTCACTATTTGTCTTCATAAATTAGTTGCTTTTTACTCATTTTGGTACATGGATTACTCCAGAAGCATATACAACTTGTATCGTGTTTCTGATACTATTTAACAAGGAAGCATATACACCTTGAGTTTCTTTGTCTCTCTTTAATTTTTTTTTAAAAAAATTTTTGTAACAAGATAAGGATTAATGGACAGGGAACTCCTATTAATTAAGGAATAAAAAGGTTTTGCTAAACTCTTTCTTTTAATTTCCTTTTCTCATTCATTCTTCTGGTTTGATTGTCTGATTGAGCACATATTTTGAACTTAGTTGATTGTTTTCTTTGTCACAACCTCCCATTAAATTTGATTGGAAGTTATATATTATTTCTCATCAATAAAGTAATTAAAATTTAGTTTTGAAGGAATTATTCCCTAGAATCTTGACACAAGCAATAACAACCTAATCAAATGAATAAACTGAATTGATTAATAATAAGCAGGAAAGTGAAAGTTTTAGAAAAGTTTAAGTATTACTTTTGTTCCATTGTCGATTCTACTGTACCTCAAAAGAAATGGATCAAAAGTGAATATATTTGTAAAGTTTAGAATAGAGCTTGTAATTTAATTTTCACTTGAGGATAAGGCCAACAACTAGGGGCTAACAAACTGGCCAAGGGTATTAAAATTGTCTTATATATTTAGTTATATTTCATTTGTTAGTATACTTACAAAAGTCAACTGAGGGAGGTTTTCAATCTTCAACTTGAAACAGACTAATGCATATTTGTTCTTATGCATCTAATAAGAAAAGCATTACTCTTAAGTGATAACTGACTATACATCATATCAATGCAAGTTCAAGGAAGGCATTACTCATATTGTTTTGACAACTGACTGTAAAAATTTTACATTTTCATTTTGATGAAAATAAATATGCAAAACACCAACTAATAATATCATTAGTTTTTGTCTTTAGTTTGGATTAGTAGTTTAACATTTTTTCTCTCTTTGTACTTATCGTGTATGGAATGAGAGATGTATCTTGATAATTGTTAATATAGATTATATTGGGAGGGTCTATAATATAATTGTCATTCTTGGTTCTATTATTGGCAGATTACATATATACACAATATTCTTACACTCAAGATTCTACAAGATTCCATAATCAAAACTATTGGCTCGGAATCGTATTATTACACTCAAGATTCTTCAAGTTCTTCATCGGTTGATAAGGTTTGAACAATTACAAATTTTTCATTTGTTGTTTATTTGCTGGCTAAACCGTCTGTGGGTACCGGCACTTGTGTTTTCTCCGGCTAAATCGCCTGTGGGTACCAGAGGATTATAAAAATATGCATGATTGTTTATTTGTTGTTTATTGGCTGGCTAAACCGCCTGTGGGTACCGGCACTTGTGTTTTCTCCGGCTAAACCGCCTGTGGGTACCGGAGGTTCATGAATGCATGATTGTTTATTATAAGCTTTATTTGAATGTCTCAGTGATTGTTTTTTTTTTTAAATGAAATGTAGCATTGAAAAATATTTTGAAATAGGTGATAAATACAATGAGTTTAAATCTTCATTGGATGTATACACGAATTAGAAATGGTCTTCTCATTGAAGAGTTTTTGGCTAGTCTTGAAACTTTATATTGTTAAATTGATAAAATTCTTATATACCTTTATATATTTGTCTTATTTTGTATATGTTTTTAATTGTAGGAAGAAATACCAGCACGGTGTGATGCTGCAATGCAAGAGGCGGAAGGGTCAACTGAGCCACCAGTTATAGACATGTCACAGATGTATGTGGATGTTGTTGGTGGGGTAAAAAAAATAGCGTATTTATGGCTTAGGGACTAAGTCATTTGCATTTATCAGCGGGAATAGCTGTAGTTCATCTGCTACTTCACAGCTTCAACAAGAGGCAATAAAGGATATGGTGAACCAACAGTTAGATACCATGCGAGTTGAGATGGAAGCTAAACTACAAGCTGAAAGAACTCAAATGCAGGTTCAAATGCAAGCTCAAATTGCAAGTTTGATGGATGAGTTGCGTCGCAATGGCATGTTATCCAATCTAAGTACTCAAGCTCAACATTCGGCTAATTCAAATGGTGAAACCTTAGGAGATGATTAGATTATATTTATTAATATATTTGGTACTGGTTCTAATGATGTAACATAATACTACTATACTTTTGTTGTTGTTATTCACTTTGAATGCTTTAATATAGTATATTTTATAATTATATTATTCAAGTACTATATTATAGGTTTAATGCATGTTTTTTATATTAATTACCGGGTACAATTGTTTTATTAATTTTCAAAATTTAGGGACGGACAAATATGATATTAAGGTAACGAAATAGCAACCAAAAATTCCGTAGTTAAATTTAGCGACGGATATTTCTGTCACTAAGTTGTAATTAAATCACGTCCAATTCAAATAATAATAAAATATTATCGACGGATAATTTCCGTCGTTATATTAACGACGGACGGTAGCGACGGTCATGTCCGTCGCTATATTTAGCGACGGACAAATCCGTAGCTAAGTCGTTGCAAATCTCGTCGCCGGAGCATAGTAGTAGCACTTTAACGACGGAATTGTTGTTGCTTTAGCGACGGAAATTCCGTCGCTAATTATGGCGATGGACTATTCCGTCGTTATTCGCTCGCAATAGTCGTCTTCGGATCCGTCGTCGAAACGAATTTAGCGACGGATATATTTCGGCTAGCGACGGAACTGTCCGTCGCTAAGTCTAGCGACGGAAAAAAAAAATGTCTCGCTAACTTTTAGCGAGGAGGGTTTTTGTGACGGATGGATTCCGTCGCTAATCCGTAGCTAAATACATTAGCGACGGATTTTCACTATTTAGCGACGGAATACGTCCGTCGCTATTCTTGTGTTTTTTTGTAGTGTATTCAGGGGTCCAAGATTTAAAGAAGCATACACAGGATATGGCATAACATTAATAGAAGCTCCTAAATCTAACATAGCATTTTCAAATTTCACCCCACTTATCATGCATGGAATAGTAAACATACCTGGGTCTTTGCACTTTTCAGGAAGATTGCTTTGACTAGCCATAGGGACATTCTCTTGCACTTTCACTTCCTCAATTCTTTCATTATTTCGTTTCTTTTTCATAGTGCGTACCTCTTTTAGAAAATTTGCATAGCGAGATACTTTTTCCATAGAATCTAAAAGTGGTTTATTAGCATCACATTCACGAAAGGTCTCATACAGATCATTATTTGAGTTTCCTCTTATTGGTTCTAAAAGAGCTTGAGGAAATGGGGGTACTGGTTCATAATCAGAAAAAGATGAAAGCTTACCTTGAGACTTCTCTTTATTGTTGGCAATGATTCCTGCACTTATTTCCTTATTCAAATCAACATTCTTTTCCAGCGACATACTTTCAACATTAATTGCACTTACATTCTCTTTAGGATTAACAACTGTTTGAGAGGGTAGTTTGCCAGAACTCTGTGCTTCCAACCGACTAACCGTAGTTGCTAGTTGGCCCACTTGCCTTTCTAAGTTTTGAATACTAGCCTTTGTTTCTTGAATACTAGCCCTTGTCTCTTGTTGGAATAGTTGTGTTTCTTGTTGAAACTGCAAAGTGTTAGTAGCAAGAGATTTAACAATATCTTCTAGATTCATACCTAAGCTAGAGCTTTGGGCTGGTTGGTGGCTGGAAGGGAATTGTTGTCTATACGTTTGAAAGTTGGAACGATTCGGAACAAACTGGTTCCCTTGTGAGTTCCCATAGTTAAGGTTCGGGTGATCCCTCCATCCAGGATTATATTTATTAGAAAATGGATCATACTTACCTTGAGGTTGTCCAGGAAAACCTCCAGCCATGTTGACTTGTTCAATAGGTTCTTCTTGAAGAGTTGGGCAGGCATCAGTTTGGTGCCCAACTACCGAGCAAATTCCACATGCTTTTACAGTTTGCATATTGCCTACTGCTAATTGACGAACAAGAGTAGTTAAACCAGTAATTTGTTGTTCAAGAGCAGAAATATTTACTTTATTCACTTGCTTAGACGGTTGGACAAGTCTATTGCCAAACTGTTGAGAATTTGCAGCCATGTTTGCAATTAGAGTTCTTGCAGCGTTCGGTGTCTTGTCAACTAAAGCACCACCGCTTGCGGCATCAATCATGCTTCTATCCATTGGAAAAAGTCCTTCATAAAAGTATTGAATGAGTAATTGATCACTAATTTGATGGTGTGGGCAGCTTGCACATAGTTTCTTGAAACGCTCCCAATATTCATACAGGGACTCTCCATTGTTTTGCCTTATACCACAGATTTCTTTCCTAATGTTGGCCGCCCTTGAAGCTGGGAAATATTTTTCAAGGAATGATGTCTTTAAGTTATTCCATGTGGTGATGCTCCCAGAAGGTAGATAGTATAGCCAATCCTTCGCTGAATCTTTCAACGAAAAGGGAAAGGCTCTCAACTTGATTTGTTCTTCAGTAACCCCTGTGGGTTTCATACTCGAACACACCACATGAAATTCCTTTAAGTGTTTGTGCGGATCTTCACCTGCAAGTCCATGAAAAGAAGGCAAAAGATGAATTAACCCAGATTTTAGTTCAAATTGTATATTAGCATCCAGAGCGGGAAAAGTAATGCATAAAGGTTGCTGATCCAAATTTGGAGCTCCAAGCTCTTTTAAAGTCCGATTTTGAGCCATGGGTTCCTCTTCTAAATCAGAATTGGTAGAATCGGTAGCCAGATCACTAAACTCCAATTTTCTCAAAGCTTGTTTCTTCCACCTGCGTATAGTTCTTTCAATTTCCGGATAGTACGGCAAGAGTTCTTGATTAGCAGATCGAGTTATAGGCATAAACAAAAAGAAAATATATTTTGATTTGCAATTATGTAAAAGTAATGAAAGAAAAGAAAATTATTATTTTTATTTTCGTTTGGTTCAAATTGAAAAACAAATAAACAAATAACAAAATAAATAATTAAATAAATAAACAAACACAAAATAAGCTAGAAAATCTCCCTGGCAACGGCGCCAAAATTTGATGAGCTGTCGTAGGCTCCCAAATTAAAACCTTACAAACGTAGTAGCGGGAGTAAGGATCGATCCCACGAGGAGTAACTAGTTTAACTTTTGTGCTCAAATTAAAGGTAGGGGGGTTTGGAATATATCGAGAATAAAGATAAAATAAAAGAGAATTTAAATAAATAGGAAATTTAATTGAACGAATAAAGCAATGAAAATAGTATATCGAAAACACTTATAATAAGAAACTTTGGTTAGTAAAGATCCACCACCGGAATTCAACACTGATCATTGATTAATAAAGTAATTAATATGCAATTGAATATTTGTCGTGAAATTATTTCGTTTCTGTTTTCCCTTAGTTGTAGGTAAATAAAGCACAAGCGGTTTAATTACCCCTAACTACTAAATAATCTAAGACAAGCGCTATAGATTTAATTTAATAGCAGCAATAGGAACTAGGAAAACCGACAAACTAAATAACACAAGCACAAGCGGTTGCATTTAATTTAGGAAAATATTCTACCCGAGACCAATTATCACTAAGCCGTCAATAATTAACCTCAGTTGCTACTGAATATTAGAATAATTTGTAGCACAACATTATCTAATATAGCAAATAATTATATCAAATAAATAACTAGTAGGCCTCCTTAGCAATTAAATGATACAACTATTCAAATAATTTTAGCAGAATATTTAATACTCATATGCATAGAAACATATATAATAAAAATAATAAATAATCTTACAGCATAATCAATTCCGGGGCATCAATTCACTAAGCCAAGCTAGAAGAAATTAGCCACGAATGGACATTGGTAACAACTTTAAAGAATAATCGAGAGGGGAAGAATGAACATTTTACAATAGGAAACTCCTACTATTTATAGCATTCTAAAAATAGGCTCAATGAACCTCAACCATCCAATTCTTATTTTTTATCGCTGCATGAAAATGTCTTTTGCATGACTCTCGGCGATGGAATCGCATTTCCTCTACTTTCCTGCATGATCCACACGAATTGAAGACAAAAAAGGACAACATAATTATAATCCTTATATTTGTTTTGTTTTTTTACTAAGAAGTGGGCCACTTAATTTATTTAAATAATATATAATATATAGATATATATATATATAAAATGCATATATATAGTAGTAGTACGTAATAGGTATTATAAATTATATAAATTATATATTATATATTATATATTATATATTATATATAAAAAGAACTAATTATAAGATAATATTAAATAACTAATGCAAAATTATTAAAAATATGTAGCTAAAATATGAGTGTAAAATGTGTCTATCATAATCTCATAACAGAAAATTCATAATTTGATCAAACGCGCGCCGTTAACTCCATATCCGTGAAAATTTTTTTTTTCCCTAAAAACGACGTCGTTTTGCCTTGTGTTCACCATTCTCGGTGAACACGACTCCATGGCATAATTTGCGACACATATCCACCTGGGCCTGCAGGGAAAGGTACGCAGCCCAGCGTGCAAGCCAAAAAAAAAAAGGGCTACTACGGGTGAACGTGGCAAAAGTCCCACAAAACCCGCACCTAATTTTGCAGGCAATGATAGCAGAGGAGCACAAAATACAAGTATGAAGAACGAAACGAGTTATATTATCGACCATGTAGCGAAAGCACAAGGCAAGGACGAATCACGTCAAAGCAACGTCAAAAAGCGAAAACAGAATAATAAACATAGCAAGTGACCGAGACAAGCCCTCGGCTCATCGCACGGTGCGGCAGATCCTTCGGCCGACCCAGAAAAACCAGATGAAGACGACGCGGTGTAGCCAGCCGCGCTAGACGGATTCACGCTCCCCGCACCGCCGGTACCGGGATTGGAGGACGGATCAGAGGGTGTGGCAATAGCTGAACTAATCCCTCGTCCAGGTCTCTCCTGCGTAACCAAGAAAGCACTTCCAGCTGGAGAAGGGGTCGTGGGTATCACTGGTTGAGCCGGTGGTTACAGCGGCAGAAGCTTAGGCAACTCCAACCCACCTACGCTGAAGGTAGAAAAACGACGACTGGGCTTGCCGTA